GCCGGCAACGTGGTCTGCTTCTGGGTGAACCACCGCGGCTGGCTCTTCGCCAAGGTCAACGCGGCGCGCCCTCTGCTGCTGCGCAAGGACGTGCTGCTGGGCTCTCCTCTCTGGGCCGTGATGGACGTGTACGGGACCACCAAGGCCATCGAGTTACTGGGTAAGGCCTGGACGGGAGACGAGGTGCAGAGCCACCCATGTGTTCATTTCCAGCTATTCCTTCAGGCCCTGCCCACAGCCAAGCGTAAGGATGAGCAACACCCAGCTGCAGGGAGGGCAGCCTTATCCCTAAGGGAGGACAACATCATAGGACCAACCCCCTAGACATCTGTTAAAAGTCACATCACATTTCACAAAGGAAGGAACATTTGGCCAGGGCTTTGCAGTGTAAGTAGGAGTTCACCAGATCCCAAAGTGGCTAGGAAGGGGAATTTAATCGATAGGGCTGGGAGTTCTCAGGCGAGGTGCACAGGCTAGCCAAGCCAGAAGAGGATGGGTTCCAGGAGTGTGGACAGACAGGGGAACCCATGGAAAGAAATATTGGAGTTTTCCCGGACACAGGGGCCATCCCCACCCCAAGTGAATTGGCTTGTAAAATAAAACAATTCACCATAGCTATGGGAGCCTCAGACTTGGAGCAGCTGGGTGGGGTGGAGGGGCCTGCGTTGGCCGTGCCTCCTGGGTGATTCTCAGCGCGCTGGAGTTTGGGGTGTCATGATGTGGAGGGCAGGAGGGTCTGGAAGAGAAGTGGGTTGATAAGAATTGCAGCCGGTGAATTCGCAGCTGGGCCGGGGCAGGGTCTGAAAGTCACCCCAACACTGTACCTAGACAAAGGGGTGACGTGTGGGCTGCCAGCCTGGCCCTGAGAACCCCCTCTGTCTCAGACTCCGGAGCCAGCCCATGTGCCACCGCCACCCTGGAGGTCCCTGGAGAGGAAGCAGAGCCAGAGCCCAAAGGTGAGTGGGTTGGGCTCTGCCCCTGGGGGGGGTTCAGTGGCTCAGTCAGGTCTGTCCCTGTGCCCCTCAGTGGGTCTCCTCGGCTTTGGGCCAGATTTGAGTCTGCCCTCTAGAAACCTAAAAACAATTTTGCCTTTTAGTATTTGGCTAACTACAGATTCTAAGCACACATTCAGAGCAGGGCACGGTGGTGCACACCTTTAGTCCCAGAACCCTGGGAGGCTGGTAGAAGGATGGCAAGTTCGAGCCCAGCCTGGGCAATTTAGGGGGACAGTCTCAGACTTTTAGAAAAATGAGGAGATGATAGGGGTGAGGAAAACAAAAAGAAGAAAAAGGGCAATTTCTGGTTTTAACTTTAAGAAAGTAATTCGTATTTATTTATTTTCAGTGTTTTAAGACAGGGTCCTGCTATATAGGTCAGGCTGCCCTTGAACTCACTGTGTAGCCCAGGTTGGCTTCAAACTCACAGCGATCCTCCTGCCTCAGCCTCTCAAATGCTGGGATTACAGGTGTGCACCACCATGACCATCTCCACATTCATTTTAAAGCTTTGCCAAATAAGATCAAGGGATATGGAAGAATTTTTTTTTCTTTTTTTGGTACCAGGGGATTGAACTCGTGATCTAGCGCTTTCAAGGCAGGCAGCAGCACCACTGAGCTAAATCCCTGGCCCCAGAAGAATTTTTTGAAACTCACTCTTTACTTCTTGGGTAGATTTCTTCTGAGCATTTTTTAGTACATATCATATGGGGGAAGCATTTGGGCCTCACATCCCTTTTATCTGAATTGTAATTTTATTTTATATATAGTTAGATATTTTATATGGTCTTCCCCTTTATCTTCAGAGGATATATTCCAAGATGTCCCACTGATACCTGAAACTGTGGATTGTCCCTTATACTACAGGTTTTCCTAATTTATAAATTGGGCTTATGAAGAGATAACAATAACTACGACTTGTACAGTTGCAACAATGTACTGTGAAAATAGTTATTTGAAATTTGTGACTTTTTTTCATGGAATTTTCCACGTACTGTTTTCATGCTTAAACTGCGGGAAGCTAAACCTTGCTGGGAGAGGGACCACTGTGTGTCTGATATGGCTTCTTCCCAGGTTCTTTCCCTCCCAAACGTGGTGACTGCCTCCTCCCAGAGTGCCCTGCGCTTCTCTGTCCTGGGACGCTGGGTTGGGCCCTGAACAGGAAGCCCAGGTCCCCTAACTTCGTGGTCTTCCCTCCCATCCCTACCAGGGGAAGAGTGCGTCATCTGCTGCCACCGTGCCGCCAATACTCGCTTCGTCCCCTGCGGTCACCCACACTTTTGCAGCTCCTGCGCCTGGCGCATCTTCGAGGACACGGCGAAGTGCCCCATGTGTCGTTGGCAGATCGAGGGCGTGGCAGCGGTACAGACACAGAGGACTGGAGAAGACTCCTGAGAGAAGGCTTCCTGCTGGTGGCAGATGGGCCTGGCTTGGGCCTGGCCCTAAGGACAAAGGACAGAGGAGGTGTGGTCCTGCTTGCCTCCTGGAGAGTCAGAAAGCTGGTCAGCAGCCAGAGAGGAACAGGGATGGCTGCTTCCTCGCCTGCTCCTGAGCAGTGGACAGAGTGACCAGGGGAAGCCTCTTTCTGCCCACACCTGATGACCCCCGCCTGAGTGCTGGCTTCCAACCCAGAGGGGCTGGGTCTCTCATGTCATGGCTAAGAGGTGACAAGTCTCCCTGCAGCCTCGGACCTGAGGACAGAGGAGGGAGGTCAGTAGGTGGAGCCGTCACCTCTACCCGGCCATCATAAAGTGACCTGTGGCTACCGCCCAGGGTGAGATGAAGTCCCAGGTGACACTGCACGTCTGTTTGAAGATAATTTAATAGGCAGACACACATTGATGCACTGATATCTGGGCTATGAAAATAAAGTTTGCCTTCTGTGAGTTTTTTGGTATGGCTTGTGCCATTGTGTTCACTGGAAGGGGGTGGAGCACTGGATTACCCGGATGCTAGGCCACTGGGGGACAAGCCATTCTTCCCTCCCAGGCACCCTGGATGTGCAGTGGATGGGCTAGGCCCTGGGCACTCAGGCGCCTTGTTCTGTTCAGTTGAGCAACACCAGAACAGTCCCACCATCCCAGCCTCTGGGTCTTACCCTTGCTGTGCCCTCTCCACCATGGCTTTTACGGCACTGCCTGGTAGAAGGTGGGAGGTGACTTGGGATCTCCCCTTCTTAGGTGCAAGTGGCAGGGGATGACACACCTGTGACTTTGCTGCTATACCCTGCTCTGTGCCCAGCTCTGGGGCATTCCCTGGGGCACAGCTCAGAAGGGGTCCAGACCTGTTCTCCTCCCACAGTTGGCCTCGCTGCCCACCCTGAGCCAGCCTGTGGGTGAGGGTGTTGCCTCAGGTGACACCAGAATATCTGTGTTAGGGGTCCTCTCTGCCCCGACCAGGGTTCCAGTCTTGGGCACTTCTGTGAATCTGTTTATTTTCTCTTTCTTTTCTTTTTGGTATGGGGGTTTGAACTCTGGACCTTGCTCTTGCAAGGCAGGCAGCACCACTGAGCTAAATCCCAGCTCACTTGCTTGTGCTCTCCAAAAAAACCTCCCTCCCTCCCTCCTTCCTTCCTTCCTTACTTTTTTTGGCAGTGCTGAGAAATGAATCAGGGCCTCCATATGCTAAGCATGTACTTTTACCACTGAGCTACATCCCTAGCCACCACCTGAATTTGGCATGATTCCTGAGAATCCTACAATAAAAATGTGTATGGTAATGGAGATTGAAACCAGGACCTTTGCACTAAGCTGTAGCCACAATATTTTTTGTTTTTTGTTTTTTTTGGGGGGGCAGGATTTTTCTAAGATGCTCGGAGTGAACTTGTGATCCTTCTGCCTCAGCCTCCCAGAGCACTGAGATTACAGGTATGCACCATATGCTGGGCATTTTTTTTTTTTTTTTGGTACCAGAAATTGAATTCAGGACCTTGTGCTTGCAAGGAGTAGCCACAATGTTTTTTGTTTTTTTTGGGGGGGCAGGATTTTTCTAAGATGCTCGGAGTGAACTTGTGATCCTTCTGCCTCAGCCTCCCAGAGCACTGAGATTACAGGTATGCACCATATGCTGGGCATTGGGCATTTT